TAATGCAAAGTATGGAATATAATAAATAGTAAATGTACTTGCAATAACCTCAGGCTCATCTCTTTCATCCCGACATCTAGTGACGCAAACCAAAGTTGGTTGTCTAGCCTCAAAAAATGTTGGCCCTCTATTCTGCTGAGGTCGGGCTCTACTGTCTGTCCTGGACGCTGAACCATGAGCCTTTACTTGGCTATGATATCTAATTGGAGTCTGTACTGTAGTCTGAGAATGCACAGGAGTCTGGGTAGCGGTCTGCTCAGACGAAGCTAGCTGAGGACAATCCCTCCGAAAATGACCACTAGATCCACAATGAAAACATGCTCCGATCTTCCTATAACACTCTCCCGTGTGTCGTTTACCACAAAAGTCACAATGAGGCACTTGAAACGTAACCGAAGAACCACCTCTACTAACAGCTGAAGGTGATGATGATACTGCAGGCCTGAAGCATGTATTGCTCATCTGAGGGGCTGAAGTACGAGTCCTCTTACCGGACTATGAGAATGATTCATTAGGGCCAAAAGATTTCCTAGATCGCTCCTGATCAACACACTCTCTACCAGAAGCTAAAGTCGCCATCTCCTCAACATCCTTGGCTCTGCTCACCAGCACATCAGAAATCTCATCTTGAAGGGCTACCACCTGCCTACGTAGCTCGTATTTGAGTTCGAGTGCAAATTTACGGCATCGATCTCTCTCGGTAGGCACCAGACTGATTCCATACTTTAATAATTTCAAGAACTCTATCTCATACTCTGAAACAGTCATGTCACCCTGAACCAAGTCCTGAAACTGTTGTCGTCTCTGGACTAAGTAACTCTCACCCAAGAATTGGCTCCGAAAATGCTCCTTAAAGAAATCTCATGTCAAACGATCGATAGGAACACTACTGGTCACTGACTCCCACCAGGTGTGGGCATTGCCATCTATCATCGCTACTGCCCCCAAATATCTCTTAGTTGGGTCCAAACCCAACTGATCCACGCGTCTTTCTGTATCCTGGAGCCAATCTTCTGCTTCAGTAGGAATTCCTCCAAGCTGTCCTCCAAAAGTCCTGACCCCATTGGCGATCAGAGTTTGAGAAATAGGCACCTCGGATCCAGCACCAGCAGCTCTGACCGCTCCTTGAATCAACTGTAAAAATTGTCTACCAAAATTCTCATCAAATGCAACTCTGGTAGAATCAGGCTCACTATCGGTTGCTCCCCTAATCGGTGTAGTCATGCCAATCCCAGCAGCAGGAGGTAAATTTGCCGGGGTCGTAGGAGCAAGATAACCTGTCGGAGGTGGGGGATCTACTCGAATCTCGTCGATCGGGTCTGCAAATCTAGCCACTCGACCTCGTCCTCGGCTAGTTCGACGTCCACGTCTAGCACTCATTTTGGTATATCTCTAGTTTACTACAGAAGATAAAACTTAGGGTTAGATAAGCACTTGGAGTCTCGAACACAATTATAATCGTAAAAACTTTGAGACATGGCCTTAGCAACAGGTTTTGTAAAATATTTCAAAATCGTATTTTTAATTTGGACTCATACACAGTTCGAGGTTTAAAAACCAAAAGCTCTTATACCAATTAAATATACCCCCTAGACCCGGCCTATGTGTTTCGACTAAGTCTAGTGGATCACATTCATGATTCTTAAAGATATTTTTCCGAAACCATTATTCAATCAAGGTAAAATCACATTATAAATGACGTTTATGAAATTATAATAATTTATACTATAAAAACACAACTCATAAATATAATGGAAAAAAAATTAATTTAAACATATCTTAAAAATCCAAATTTACGATAAACCAAATATAAATAGCAAAGGAGTAATCATTATAAAATCCAATACTTTAAAATAAGGCCCATGTTACCAAAATAGTTCCAACTTAAAAGATAAAACATTACAATACTATATACTTCAAGAGATATGTGATCCTCTAAGTGCTCGATCAGGTGAATCTAACCAACAGTATCTGAAAGGGGAAAATATTTTCGAAAAGAGAGCTAGGCTCAGTGTGTCCCAACATTACTATAAAATTATGATAGGTACACTAAACAAATCATAGTCCAGTAAATCTCATAAAATTATACTGCAGTAAATCTCATAAAAGAGTTACCCTAATGGAACATCTTAGGGCCTGAGAGCCTACCCAAGATAGATTTTGGGGTCGTGGGGCCCACCTAAGAATACATCTTAGGGCCGTGGGGCCTACCCGAGAATGATTTCAGGGCCGCAGAGCCTACCTAAGAGTCACATTAGGTCCGTAAAATTTTTCAACTTGATCAGAGATATACTTTATAAATTCGTATTCCAAAAATTCAATTGCACCGTGATATAAATTCCATAAATCCATAAACATGGTAATCATATACCATTTCAAAACAAAAATCAGATAGCAGTTATAATCCATAAACCATCACATTAAATCGGTGCATCAATAAAACAGTAATCAAAGAATTCAGTGTACCATATATTAAAACAAATAAAACAGTTAAGTAATAAATAGGGAACACACCTCGATAATAGGTTCAAAAAGTATATCTATTGATTGCTGGTCTCACCACGCTCTGCTACAGTTTTCGAACGTAATTTATAATAACACTATATTACTAATGGGTAACATAATTAATCTCTAAAATCATAAAATTTACAAGTCTTAAGGGTTAATACTGGAACACGTAGTTTAACTGATCTAGAAGAGCTGGGTCGAGCTGTCGAATGATCTGGAGAGTCTCTTGTACCTTCAAACAATAATAATTTATCAGCCCCAAGTCTTACTTAATTGTTCAAAGCTAAAATTCTTATATAAGCATTTTCCAGGTTTGACTATCAATTTGGAGGATTTCGAGTCTGAATTTGACCAAATGGATTGCGGAAATCGGAATCAGGACATCGAAAAACATAAAGTATGACTTTTCAAAAATTCAAATTCTTGGTCAAAATCAAAGTCAACGGGTTTGACTGATGATTTGGAGGCCTTCGAGTTCGAATTTGGCGAAACGGACTTCGGAAACGGATTCGGCACGTCGAAAAATGACAGAATAGGTATACTCGAACAAAATCAAAGGTCGTTTAATGGCCGTTTAAAGCCGGTCAAAGTTATGGTCAAAGGGGTTAAATAGTCCACTGTCGAAAATTACAAAAATATCACCTTTTTAAAAATAATTATCAAAATTTCATTGTTTTACAAAAAATTCCCAAAATGTCACCGTTTTAAAAATAATTACCAGAATGTCACTGTTTTTAAAAAAATTCCTAAAATATCACCGGGTCGGGTCGGTCAACAGGTCGGGTCAAACCGGCTCAGACCGGTCAAACTGGTTCAGACATGCAATCAACCAGTTCGTATCTCCCCCACGCGCAGGGGCGGCGCGTGAGTCGTCGTCCGGTCTCCATTAATTCATGAAAAAATTCTAAAAATTCTTTTAAGTGATTTTGAGTCACTTACCAACCTCGGTTCAAATTTTTGAACGGTGGATAGCTCAATTTCAACTCGGCCGAATCTTTGACCGCTCCACCTCCCACACGCGTCGCCGCCTACGGAGACAACGGCGACACCGTCGGACTCGGAACGATACCAGGAACACGATGGTGCGGGAGGTGTCGAAAACCGATCAACGATCGGAGATGAATTTAAGATTTTCTCGGCGGTGGTGCCAAAAAAAGTTAAGACTTTGACTCAAAATTCACGTCGTTTGCCAGCGTTTCGCTATAATTGGTTTACTGAGTTTTGTTCACGAGTCGAAGATGAACACGATGGTGGTTTCAATTTGACAATCGGAGGTCACGGCGTCGAGATCGGACTTGAAAGTAAGGGTGCGGGAGGAGTGAAAGTTTAAGAAATGCTTGCGTTTTCTGATTTCAATCAGAAAACACGTTTGGTTTATACCCAAACCTGCCGACACTTCTTGAAGGAATTCAGGGCTTGGTCCCTGAATTTCCTTCAACTTCTAAAATAGCCTATAAATTTTCATAAATTTTAATTTAGTCACCAAATTACACCGATTTAATTTTTTTTTCTGGTTGTTACATCAACGTTAATGGAGGTGCAATGGCCCTCGGGCATCCTTTGGGTTGCACAGGTACTTATCCTACAGAAATTTGACAATTTGTAGCAAGTAAAAAACTGAGCCTCTGATAAATAATGATAAGTGCAAACAATTCAGGACACAAACATGTACCAATTTGCTTTACCGTCTAAAAAGATACTATACTACATGTTCTAACTTTTGCAGAGGATAGGCTTTGATCTTTAGGATGGTATGGTGTTAATTTTCGATATCTATTGTTTGTGTGTATCAGGGGCTCGTTGTGTTAGTACGCTATTTTACGAGATGAAGCATCGCGGGAAGGACTGTCGGTTCGGAGTGATCTCAATGTGCATAGGCACTGGAATTGGAGCAGCAGCTGTCTTTGAAAGGGGAGACTATTGATGAACTCTTCAATGGTGGAGCTGTCTATCAAAGGATGCTCCATGTATGTGTTTGTTGGTGTCTTATTGTTTGTATTAGGTATATGCCTTTTCATATTCCCAAGAGATAATAACTGTGAGTTGACAAAGCTCTAAGCGTTAGAATCAAAATAACATTTTTTGAAAAAACTCAAGAGTGGTGGTTGAATATATATTTATATATATATATTCTCTAAGAATGATGAAGCTTTGAGATACATGCTTGAGGGAAACCAAGTTGTTTCAAGCTTTAACCCCTTTATGCTTTCAAGAATCAAAGGTTTCAAGATGATCTAATTCACATGAATGCAACCCTGGCTATTCTCAACTCTTTAACGCTGAATCCGTCGGGACAAATATTATACAAGTGCGTCATAAATACTCTGCCCGGTAGCCTTCTCAGGGAAAACGCGATTGGCATAACCTTTCAAAGTGAATGCATTAAGATCCATCATCTATGTTAACAATGATATTTGCATAAAAACTGACATTGGAACTAAAAGCATTTGCAATTTTATGAAAAACATAATCAATCTAGAACCATTGCAGTAAGTGTGGCAATCTGTCCAACTAAATTTCAAGTATCTTACAGTGGCGAGAGTTAAGAGCTTTCTTTCTGCACCAGATTTCTCATTAAAACAGAGAATATGGCCTAGAACGATTATCATTAAAAGAAACAAAGAGGACGAGGCACTCTCATTCCGGATCAGGTGAGCCTCCCGGGACCAGCTGCATTGCACCAAAAGAGAAATAGTAGTAAGAAATTTGATACCGGAATCTGTTACAATGTGTGGACTTTGGTTTCTCATTTCCCAAGTCGCAACCCTTCCTTTATATCTATCAGAGATTTGTTTCAATCCATGAAGTGATAACTCGTAACTATACTAATCCTAAGCAAATTACGGTGTTAACTTCTAACAAGAAATGCATTAACTAAATCAGGGGATGAACATTTAAACTTACGATGGCAATGTTGTTTCCATTCAGCAAAATTTGATCAAGCTTCGTGATCCGTCTTCCTTCAGCAGTGATCTCACTGTAATATGGAAAAAAGAAGCAGAGAATCAAACAAGATCAGCACGAGCTATAAGAGATGTTCTACTCAAGGCAGCAAACATTCAGAGATCACTTATTCATGCTGCCAGCATGGGTCAGACATGTTGTATATATACAAGTTCTTGTATAGCACTATTGTTCTTGAATCGATGCGAGCAAAACAAATCAAATACCTTGCCCTCTCGAAAGAAATAGCCATCACCACCCAGAAAAAGTTAGAGAGTAGAGACTTCAAAGAAATTCAATTGGGGGGGGGGGGGGAATAAGGCTACCCAAAATATGAGATTTGTTAAATGCAAACAACATGACTAATACCCAGAAAACTTTATATCTTCCTCATCAATTTCGTAGACCTATTTACTAGTGACCGAAGCATAAAACCCTAAAACACAGAACAAAATAGAACATTGCAGGGAAAGGTTGAGCTGGTATATCTAAATCAAAACATTCAAGGAAAAAGGGGAGGAAGATTACTATTCAGTGACATCTTCAAGGACCATATTGACGTAAACATCGAAGCCTCTTAGAGTACCCACGAGCTCCTTGTCCCCTTTCATTATCACCCATATTTTGGACCCTATGCACCTGTCTATCAACTCTGCAAGAAAAAAAAACACATACCCAAATTGGTATTTTGTCTGGTTTTCCCGACGAAGTGAAGGAGAAGAGGGCGTCACCTGAAGGAAGAAGCTGCGAGGGGTTGTTTGCCATTGATTTTGACAGATCTTCACACTGAAACTAAGAAAGCTCCAATTTTGGATTCAATTATGACCTAAGTATGGTAGTGAAAAGACTTCATTGAATGAAACAGGTTCGATTAGCCCAACAGACTTCAAACCTCCGACCCAGCAATAGTCAAGTCGTTCTGGGCCGAACATCATATACTATCTTTCTTTTTAAAATTAAAACTATTAAAAATTATTATTTAATATTATAACGTTATTAAAATAATAATATATTTTAATATTGTTAAAGGTTTACTATAAAAACGATCATTTTTGCTTATATTTTGTTCATTATATATCATCAATTTGAGAAAGTTATTTTTCCGTCACTTATATTATTGATCTATTAAATTTTAATCGTTTATATTATCGATAATTAAATTTTGGTCATTAAATTATTAATTTCGATTAGTTTGATGATGTGACGTGTTACTCAAAAGAGTTTATTTTTTATTTGACCCTTAAAATTTATATAAATTATTATTTTGACCCTTAAATTTAGATAAAATATCAATTTGATCATTGAATTCGACCATAGTCTCTTCTTCGTCAACTACCACTCACCACTGTCTTGGTCGGTTTCCGTCGACGTTATCTCCAATAATCGTTACATCTCAAAAATTTTAATTCACTCTCAATTTTTTATTAATAAATATATTTTTAATACTATTTATTAAAAGTTTTAACATATTTTAATTCACTCTCAAAATAATACTTGGTAAAAAAAAATTAATTCACTCTCAGTTTTAATGTATATATAACATGTTAAAACTTTTACCAAGTGAAAATACTTGAGTCAATGGTTACTCCTCCTTTTCCCTTTATTATCTTGAGTGTTAAACCTACAATTGAAGGGATATGTCAACTAAAATTGCTCTAAAGATATATATATATATATATATATATATATAAATAATGAGATTCCATTCATATAAATTCAATTCCATTAGACATATTGAAGGGTCCCATTGGCATTAAATTTAATAGGAATTAAATCAAATTATGATTGAAAATGAAATCTTTAGTATAAATCAATGCAATTTAAGAGGAAACAATGGAATATTTTGATAAACCTACGCAACTTACTGAGGAAACAATGAAAGGACAATTCAAATCTTGAATTTTTGAATTGAGGGACTAAGAATTAGAAATTTCTCATTATTTTTTATATTATGCTATTATCTAATTGATCGATTAAATTATTGAATTAAATTAAAATTATGATTAATGTGTCGTCTCAAATCATTTCGGTTTAAGAAATCAATTTCCATGATCAAGAAAGTTAATGGATCCCAACTTGGCAAACCACCCAAAGTTAAATAACTCTGTTTCAGCAAGCTTAGCACTTGAATATCATGCAATACAACATTAATTCACAATCTGCATTATCCCTTTGTTCTGGGTTTATGGCCAACACCAAGAAACAGCAGCTTCCTTCAAATTCTTCTCCCAACACGTCCATGAATCACCAACTCAACTCGGAAAATCAATTCAGGCATTGGACAACACAGTGACACGTCGGTTCGACCGAGCTTCCATAAAAGCTCCCCCCTCCAAAAAATAAAAAAAGAGTAAGAACTGGAAACACATATGTTTGAGATCTGCAAAAATATTGGCCTCAAATTTCTTGTAAACATCAAGTTATTAAACTAACATGAACAATGAACCAACAACCGTAGGCCCTTCCGGGCTTTACCTCTTTACTTTTCCATGTGAGACGAAACTGGTCATTGTCTTTAGTCGCATCAGATTCAATGTCTTAAAAAATATCTGCTTGCTCACATGCTGGCAATGTGTTTCTGTAATAAACATATTACAATGTTCTGACAAGATATGTTTCGCTTCAGTCAACTTAAAATGCTGTTTAACCAAATCCTTTCATCCCAATTAATCATGGAGTCTGATCTTCTTTACAACCCTTAGCGATGAAATTGAGATATTCTAAGTTATTCAAGTTTGTCTAATTAAAATTTTGTAACACTTGAATGGACTCAATTTGAGTTCGAATTCTACTCAAACTATTATTGAGGTGAAGCGAGTTGTTAAATACCTTTTAAAAAGTTCATGAGTAACTCGAAAAAATAATATATTAAATTTTTAATTTTTTAAATTAAGTTATTAATAATATTAACATTTATATGTTGTTCTTTTTCAAATATAATATAAGATTTTCATGTATTTGAGGTCTAGGTTCGAGTTCGAGCTTCAATTGAGCTAAGTCTAAGAATGTTTCGAGTTCAAATTTTTAGAGCTCGAGATTCAATTTTTTATTTTGAGTTGAGTTTGAAAATTTTTAAACTTTAATTGAGCTAAGTCTAAGAATATTTTGAGTCCAAGTTTTTTTCTAGCTTGAGATTTAATTTTTTATTTTGAGTTGAGTTTGAAAATTTAAAGATCACTAGCTTTTGAGTCAAGTTCAATTTTTTATTACAAGTCGTGCTTGACAACTTTAAGCCCGTAAATTTACGAATGTAAATATATGATTGATAACAACGCATGGCACACCCAATTTTCAAACCCAAGATTTTTTTTTTTAAAAAAAAACAACCTTCTTTTTTACCATTAATCTCGATCAATGAGTTCAACCGATTATCCAATACGGAAGAACAAGTGTATGGCGAAGGGACAAGCCACCAGGGCAAAGCACACTCCGGTTCTTAGATTAACATTAAATCTCCCGAGGTTAAAACCATCATATGAGCATTTCTTATATATAAATAAATCCCCATGTTACTATAGATCTCAAGCCAACCCTTCCCCACTCACTGCTCCGGTGTCCGTCTCATCATTGGGATTTTTATATATAGCAGATCCTTAAGTGGCTCTTTAAGGTTGCACATGAACAAGGAGGACAAAACACCAGAGGTAACAAAAATATCTTGTCAATTATAATGTATGTTGTCTGAAATGAGTATAATGATTTGTTTCAATTGTTTGCAGATCAAGAAGATGAATCTAAAGACATAGTTTTTGCTTCAAAGCATAGAAGACCGAAAAGGAAGAAGTTTCAGTTTAAGCAATTTACATTTCCTTGCAATAGAGATGTTGCAAGGACCTGCTTCTATAGTACTATTTATTTGAGTAGAGTGCGGAGCTCTCACAGTGGACAACAGCAGCATTGGGCTCAATCGATGAAGAAAGACGATATCGCTAGAGGGTTCGTCGTTAGTCTGATGTCGGATTTGGGTACTCGTGCACCGTCGTCGTCTGCCGGAAAAAAAGATCGATGTAACACCGATGAAAAGAAAGAGAGGCTTCAAGGGGATAAAACCAGAACCATGTCTAGAATGAAGGAGCTGTTGAGATGGGCTTCTGCTACGAAATCGGAGAAATTAAGCGTGAAATTCATCGGCAGAAAGGTAAGGGAAAGTTCGAATTCGAATTCTTTGCTTGTTTAATTAAGAACTGATGGACTTAATGAAGTTAAAACCGTCCACAGGTTTTACAATTCAGGAACCGTGAAGCACTGAAAGGTGTAGTAGCAGCAAATGATGATCAATTTAGCTACGAGTCCCCTAAGATAAGCTTTAGATGGGATGTTGAAAGCTGCACCACTACTTCCTCAGCCTTTTCCGGAATGTCGATGACTTCTTCGTCGAGAAACGATCGAAGCTGCAACATAGTATCGATGAATTCGACTCCGATACACGGCCTGAATCGATGCTCTAGCAGGAGAGGAAATTGGATAACCACAGACTCTGAATGTAAGACTGATGTATATGTGTGTAATGTGTATTCCTCTGATCTGCAGTTTATATTGATTCTATCTGTATGATGTTGTGGACGCAGTTGTGGTGCTGGAGCTATGATGACCAAAGCAACGATTTAAATAACGGTCCATTATCATAATAGAGGTCGTTATATAACAGTGAAGGTGACATATGAAATCGTTATTGCACAATCACAATATCCGCAACGCAACAAAAAACATGGCTGCAACCGTAATTTTAATCCTTGAATCGAAGGCTGAAGCAGATAATTTCTGGGTTGGAATGTTAAGAAGGAAATACTCCATTGGTGTAGATTTGATTGATTGACTAATTAATTGTTGTTTCTTGCTTCTTTAAATGGATCAATATTAGTTTGAGGATTATTGGCATGAAATTAAAACCAATAACTCCTCCATGAGTTTTAGGGATAAATCTATAGTATAAAAGTCATTTTCAATAATTAATTATTAATGGATCTCTTTTTCATATAGGATAAATATCAGTTACTAAATGAATTATCCAAAATATATTTTGTTTTGATAGGTGAATCTTAAAAGAAGAATGTTAAATAATACAGTTTTATAGATTTAAATAATTTATTTATATAAATTATAATTTTTAAATTATTTATTTAGATGAAAATTAATTCATGCTATAATTTTCAATAATTAATTATTAATGGATCTCTTTTTCATATAGGATAAATATCAGTTACTAAATGAATTATCCAAAATATATTTTGTTTTGATAGGTGAATCTATTAAAAGAAGAATGTTAAATATAATACAGTTTTATATAGATTTAAATAATTTATTTTATATAAATTATAATTTTTAAATTATTTATTTAGATGAAATTATTAATTCATGCTATATTTTAAATCATTATATTTTACATAATTTTTTTAAACTTTAGTACATATAGACTCATCTAATGTTTTTTTTATAAATTTTTGATAAATATAAAATAGTATTTATCTAAAGACTCAACTATTAACAATAAATTTTCATATTTTTGCATACACGATGCTCAAACATGAGATATTAACTACCGAAATCTTTTAGTTTACACTAAATCTTAAATTAATATAAAATTAAAAATATATATTATTTAGTTGGATTCTGCCTCTAGAAATACATCATCTTATTTGACAATCATATTCGAAACTTTATCATTGTAGTGTTTCTTGTTGAGATGCATACTCAAATGGTTACGTTTAGTGCATGGATTTAAATTATGGTTACAACCGTATTTTTTTCTCGTGTTATTTTTATTACGATTGTAGACATAAAAGATATTATTATAGTTATTACGGGTAAGTTGATTGTAAATTTATTTTAAGGAGTTGATTCTTTTAAAAGGAACAGATTTTTAAGGAAAAGAATAAGAATAACGGAACAATAGTGGGAATAGCAACAGCTTTTTTAATGATTTTGTGTCATGCCGTTTTATGGTCGGTGTTACCGACATTACATTGCGTCCTCGAATGCAGTTCCAATAACAACAGGTAATTTTGATATACAACAGTCTAATATAAGGTTAAAAGAAGGTACTATCGAAAATATTAATATTTTATTAATATTTTCGGTAGAACGTTATTTAAAATATTATTTTTTTTATCGAAAATGTTAATTTCGTTACTTAAAATGAATATTTTTGATATTAACATTTTCAGTAGAAAAAAATAATATTTTAGATAGTATTTTACCGAAAATATTAATAAAATATTAATATTTCCGGTAACTTCTTTTCGTAACCTTATATTACGCTCTCTTTCCTAATACATCCCCTCCAGCAATATATTTCCAGTAATCCCATAAATTGTGTCTGCAAAATGGTACGCTGCTTTCATACTTATATGAGCTTGAAGACAGCATATGCCTACTACTGCATAGCTCTTCATCTGCTAGCAATTGCATATAATATTAATCTACTTATATGAGCTTTCTTCTATGGGTTTATTTGTCTATGCAGCTCTTTTTTTAACTTTTTTTTCTCTTTACTGAGTTTTTGGTTTAGAGAATTGACGTATGTATCTTTTTTTTCCCAGTGTTTATGGTTTTTTAGGAGTAAAACATTTTTTTTATTTTGAGTAAAATGATTGCATAGGGTCTCTTTGTTTATTGGAGTTGTTTTTGTTCACTTCCCGTTGTATTCAATGAGTCCTTTCCTTTTAGCTACTCTATTCTTTTGCTATTTTTAGTCATAAGATTTGGGATTCTCTTTATTTTTTTAAACAGTAATCCATTTGTGTTAGTGTATAGATTATTTCTATGTTCTATTTGTTCATTTATTATTGATGAGTTTGTATTAGTTGTCATATATTGTTATGATTTAGGATGAGAAATTAGAAGAATTTAGGGATTTCAGAAACAGAGAGACTTAGATACAGAAATGTGCTTTCATTCATATGATAAGAATCCCTAAGGATCGGTATAAAATTATATATGTATTGTACCAGCTGTCAAATAGCATCTCTAACAAAATAACTACATGCTGACTCACCAACCAACATCTCTCCTAATATTGTTCTAACAGACTCAGGCCCAAAATATAAGCCCAACAGTAAAATAAATTGAGTTATCATAATACCCACTAACTCCCCGCATATACCTCAGCCGTCTCTCTTCTCCTAACTTCGATTCCCAATTCTTCAGAGATAACCTCAATCACTAGCCCCATTTTCAATCCCTAATTTCACTCGATTCTCCCCCCAATTTCTGATGTTGCCTCCCAATCTTCTCTTCGAAAATTCCCCCTAAATCACTACGATCAAACCCTAACTTCCCTATCATCATAACAATACCCCCTCCTCCAGAAGATTCTTGTCCCCAAGGATCGAATTGAGGAAATTATTGTCGCAAAACTGTATAATCCTCCCAAGTTGCTTTTGTTGGTCCCATATTCGTCCACTGAATGAGCAATTGAATGACTGCTCGATTCTGTCTTGTAATCACTCGTTGGTCCAAAACCAGGGCTGGGTACATCTTCAATTAGCCGTCCGACGCTACCTCTGGAGGATCGATCGAAATAAGTCCCTTTTTTCCAACTTTTTTCTTAAGTAAACTCACATGAAAAACTGAATGGATTCTTGAATTTTCAGGTAATTCTAGTTTATAAGCAACCTGACCCACTCTGTTTTGAATTTTGTAGGGTCCAAAAATATCGGGCAGCAAGCTTCAAATTTCTTCGCAGGGCCAGTGATGTTTGTCTGTACGGTTTGGAGCTTCAGGTAAACTTCATCACCGACTTGAAATTTCTGTCTGTTATATCTGCTTCATTTTATTGGTAGCTTTAAGTAGTTGTTCTCTTAATATTGAATTTAATTGTTCCCTGTGTTGCATGACATCCTGCACTGCTTCCATCCTAGAGTCTGTTGTCCATGTTACAGTAGGAGCTTTATACCCATATAAAGCTTCAAATGGTATCATCTGTAGAGCAGAGTGGTAGTTAGTATTGTACCACCACTCAGCCTGAGGTAACCATTTAGACCAAGTCTTAGGTTTCAAGAAACACATACACCTCAAATATTGCTCTAAACATTGATTCAATCTCTCTGTCTGACCCTCTGTCTCAGGATGATTGGCAGTACTAAATAATGAAGTTGAACCCAATTGCTTCATTAATTCCTGCCAAAACAAACTAGTGAAAGACTTGTCCCTATCAGAAATAGCCACTTTAGGAGGACCATGTAACTTATAAACCTGATCAGGATAAACCCTAGCCACTTCCAGAACTGTATAGGGATGAGATAGTGGCATAAAATGAGCATACTTAGTGAATTTATCAATCACCACCAAAATGCAATTAAACTTTGTTGAAGATGGCAAACCTTCAATGAAGTCCATTATAATCACTTCCCAAGCATTGTTTGGGACATGAATAGGCTGTAACAATCCTGGCTTAGAAATATGTTCTGTTTTAGTCCTCTGACACACATCACACTGTTGTATATGCTCATGAATTAAAACTTTAATTCTTGGCCAGAAAAAATAAGACTTAATATTCTGATAAGTAGCTTGAATACCTGAGTGACCTCCTTGAGGTGAATCATGCAAAGCCACAATTATATTCTGCCTAAGGTCCTCTTTGTTGCCCATATAAATCCTCTTTTTAAAATACAAGACTCATTTCATTAATTTCCAGTCCTGTAGCTCATCTGGTTTAATAACCAGAATAGGGATTTTTTTTCTTGAGCTATAGCATCTTCTTCATAACTCTTTTCAATATCTTGTACCCAAGTAGGAGTAATAACAATAACTCCCATTTGAACAAATTCACCAGAATCTCATTGTTGTCTAGAGAGTGCATCTGCAGCTTTGTTAGACTTACCCTTCCTGTACTGAATAGTATAATCCAACCCCAATAATTTTGTAAGTCCTTTCTTCTGGATAGTTGTAGTTAACTTCTGTTCAAGTAAATGCTTTAAGGGCTGATGATATGTTTTAATGACAAAAGAACCACTCTCCAAATAATGCCTCCAATGAGAAACTGTCATCAAAATGGCCAAATACTCCTTCTCATAAATTGACATATCTGCATGCTTAGGACCCAAAGCTTTACTCAAATAGGCTATAGGCCTCCCTGCCTGAGACAAAACAGCTCCAATCCCTTTAGAACTAGCATCAGTTTCCAAAAAAAAATCTTCTCAAAATTAGGCAAAGCCAACACTGGAGCATTACACATAACTTCCTTCGGCTTTTCAAAAGATGTTGTAGCTTCTTCAGACCAACAAAACCCATCCTTTTTCAACAAATTGGTTAAGGGCTTACTCAGTTCCCCATAACCTCTTATGAATTTTCTGTAATATCCAGTTAAACCCAAAAATCCTCTTAAAGCTTTCAGATTCTTAGGCAAAGGCCACTGTTGTATGACTTTAATTTTGTTAGGATCTGTTGCCACCCCATCAGCTGATATTAAGTGCCCTAGATATTTCACTTGCTGCTGACAAAAAAACACTTACTTCTTTTAGCATATAACCTGTTTTTCAACAGAACCTCTAACACAGTTCTTAGGTGCTGCTTATTCTCTGTCAAGTTAGGACTGTAAATCAATATATCATCAAAAAATACAATAACAAACTTCCTTAAATAAACTCCAAACAAATCATTCATCAAAGTTTGAAAAGTATTTGGAGCATTAGTAAGGCCAAAAGGCATTACTTTAAATTCATAGTGTCCTTGATGAGTCCTAAAAGCAGTTTTGTAAATATCTTCCTCCTTGATTCTAATTTGCCAATATCCAGACCTCAAATCAATTTTTGAAAAGAAAGCAGCCCCATTCA